AGAGGAAAAAAATATCTTTTGTTCATCTCCAGAGGTAGGGTCTCACCCTAACATCAGTATGCCATAATTGTTATCAAGGGGAAGACACAAATGGTCATTTCTTTCGAACATGTGTTTTTGCAAGACAAATGTGGGCTTGGTTATGTGATATTTGTATGTTGGATGATGTCTTGGATATCCAATCTTTGGAGGCAGTAACAACTTGGTTCATCCTTCAGACTTAACACTCCTCTTTAAAGAGCAAGGTCTTGAGATGCTTTTATACTTCCATTTTATGGTGCATATGGAATCATAGGAATAAAGTCTTACATGAGGAAATACCATCCACATCCGATGTTGCTAAGGAAGCCTATTTGGAAGAGATATCTTCATTGGGAATTTCTTTATCATATTTACATAATTTTTTAATATCTTGTTTTTATAGTTATGTTTTAAAAGTCAAGGGTATGCCTAACACTTTTGTTATTTTTTTATTGGATTATCTTTTCCATTGTGGTCTCTTCTAAGTGATCATTCTATCTCTTGTACCATAAAGTTTTTGTATCAATAAAATATTTCCACCATTTAGGGAATTTTTTTTTGACTTTATATCTTTTCACTGAACCATCAGAGTTGTAAACTATTTGCAGCATGTAGTTTTCTTCCTAGGAGATAGCGGTGTATATATCCAAGTGTTATTAATTTCAAAAGTATCAAGCTTAAAACATATAGTGTCTCTCTACTTAAGGTCTTAAACAACTTGCAAGAAGATCTAAGGCTTTGTTTCAAGAGAATAGAAGTGATGAAAGCATGTTGAGAAGAATACAAATGCTCATATAAGAGAAAATTACACAATAGGTGAGAAGTGTTATTAAAATTTACCATTGCCAAGTCTGATGACTAAGTTGGTCGAGACGGGAGACCAGAGGTAAGAAGAAAAATCTTACAAGTAACCTGGGAGCTTGGCTCTAATACCAGTTGTTGGTCCCAGCTTCCATCAATTCTCCTAAAACTAGTTGATGTTAGGGAGGACTTCAACTTTGTACTTAAACTTGTGTTCATGTCAGTGAATCCACTATTGACTATTAGTCCGCAAAGCTTGCTAGGTTGGATACTTTAGCCACACCAGCCAACAAAACTGCCATAACCTCCCAAAATCACGTAGCAAACATCCATTATCCATATCAATCACGTTGTATAACACCTTGTTACCCAACTATTGACTTTAGAGGGGGTAAATAGAGTCTATAGCAAACAATGGACATTTTTCGGATTAATAGAAATATATAAGTCTAAGCAATATCAATATAAATTCTGCAAAAATAATATGTCAAGATAACCAATTATAAGCACAATTTAAATGACATAAGGGAAGAGAAATGTAAACACAATAACATGCTAATTTAGCAAGGTTTGGAATTCCTAGTTCTCATCTCAAGATCCCTCTTGAGACTTTCCCAAATCTACTATGGCTTCTCCTTTTGGGAGGGGAGCAAACCTTTAAAAGAAGCAAACTTGTTTCTCCTTCCTTTGCTAAGAGAAAAACTTTCCCTTAGGCTTCCTTTGGGTCACACCAATCTTTTGAGTCAAACCAACCTACACAATAGATGTGTAGGACGAATTACGTATGAGATATATCTCACAAAGATTGATATGCAAATCAATAACTCATAAGACTAGAGTATAGATGAATTAAGTTGAAGCTCAAGTCTATGAAGTGAAATGTATGAGAGAAATGAAGATTATAATGAATGCTCAAATACTTCCTCTTAATTACTCATAAATATTTTTCACTTCTTGTATACCATCTCTATAAATGCAAAGCCCGATATATAAAGAATTTTGGCCAGAAAATGGTTGTTGGAGCCATTGGAATTAAAACTCAATAGAAACCAATCAGCTGGTAAGAGATTCAGTTGGCTGAAGTAATTAAAACGGACGGTTGATACAAAGTATCAATTGATTGAGTAATCACCCTCGTTAAGCTTGTTGAGTACTGTCCAAACCAACAGGCTGGTAGAATTCAATCAGTCGGCTGATTGATCTTGGTTTTGAATTTAAACCCATTTTGAAGTGTCTTTTACCTTGACATTCATTTAGGTTACTTTAATATATTTCAATGACGTTCAGGACCTATTTCTAGGTTGAATATGGATCAAAGTTTGAAATATGAGTGTTTATGCATGATTCTATAGAAATGAGCTTTAAAAGAATTAAAAAATATTTTAACAAAGAATCCTAAGCACTCACCAACCTATTTACCCCTTTCTTCAAGCTTTGCTATTGTTCTTTCAGCTTTGAGGTATCTTCCTTGATCATGAGTTGCATTCTTGATCATTAGGTTGAATTCATGTTCTTTGAGGTCCAAGTCAACTTTGAATGCTCATTGTATTAACTTTTGCAACTTTAAGTCATTTTCATGTCCATAGCATCACCATTGATGTCTTCATATGTAACGGAATACTTGGAATGTGACTTTGATCATCTTTGCTTCATTGAGGTCAATCTTGGAAATATGAACATATCTAGCACAACACTCAATGTAGACATTACTGTCTAAACACCATTAAACACTATTAATGGTTTGTAATCATTAAACATAATTCTTCTAATTCAAAAAGGGAACACAAAAAGCATTTGTCTCTTTAATATTTATCCAAACAATTTTATAGACTTGGATGCCTCTATATTTTTAGTCCCAATTTTGAACCATCGTTCTTGATACAATGTTTTTTGCTATTTTTATAATTATAACATCACAAAACTTTCAGTTCACAATGCACTTTGTCAAATATATTGGGTCTTTGTGGATGTTCTTCCTTCTTTGAGGCTAGTAACAATTTCTAAGCTACTAGATAATGCAAAAGAAACTCCATTGTCTTCACCAACTATCTCATTCTCATCGTAGAAGAATAGTCAGCCTTTTACATTCTCCTTTATATCTTTAATATTCTCTAGCTTTATCATATTCACTGGTTTCCCTTAAGACATTCGATAAATTGATAACCTGGTTACCTACGTTTGTAACACTTGTCTAGGCCTAGATTAGCATAAAGGTTACTTTTAAGTACATCTCAACCATGTGTAGATGCTACCCCTGTATTTTTTGCTTGTCCATTGTCGCTACTTGCATCATTTGCGAATAAAAACATGGTTTTCAGCAAAAGCTTCATCTTTAATTAGGTCATGTCATGCGTAAATTTTTTTATAGCTATTCCCACCAAGCAGAACTATTCTCTTCGATTTTTACGTAACCAAGTCACCTTCTTATCCTCTAGGATCTCCATATAATCAAAGAATCTCTCAATTTCTACCTACCAATCAAAGAAATCTTCAATATGAAGATGACAATTAAAGTTGAAAAAAACAATCTTCATAGGAAAATCCTAGAATCAAGATCTCGATGATCGTGATATCTTTAAACACTTTTGCAGCCCCCAAACACCTCTTTAGCGTAAACTTTATTATCGTCGAAGTCTTCCCATAGGCTGACTGTCTATTCGACACGAAGGATTTATGGTTAAGAACTTGATGAACATGATCTTCGTTGTCGTTATTCAAGTTTCATATTAAAAGTACTTGAATTTAACCCTAGTAAGAGCCACTCCATATCGATCTTCATCCCCAGTGAAGTTGCCACCACCATGTGCATCAACGATTAGTTCAGAAAAAAATAAACGAGTCTCTGATACCAAACAACAAAGTGGAAGCTTCAAGTTTCATATTAAAAGTGCTTGAATTTAACCCTAGTAAGAGCCACTCCATATCGATCTTCATCCGTAGTGAAGTTGCCACCACCATGTGCATCAACGATCAGTTCAGAAAAAAATAAACGAGTCTCTGATACCAAACAACAAAGTGGAAGCTTCAAGTTTCATATTAAAACTGCTTGAATTTAACCCTAGTAAGAGCCACTCCATATCGATCTTCATCCCCAGTGAAGTTGCCACCACCATGTGCATCAACGATCAGTTCAGAAAAAAATAAACGAGTCTCTGATACCAAACAACAAAGTGGAAGCTTGATAAGAATGGGAGATAATCAACTTTGAATGTACAAAGTTCAAAGAAACGTTATTAAAGAATAATGAAATTGTGAAAAAAATACAACTATTATTTATCCTCTTCCTCCTCCTCATCACCTTATTCCCATATCAATGGAGTTAGCCACTATAATTCCATCTTCATTCATTTCTATTACCGCCATATTACCTATTATGTTTAAATTTTTAGTCATTTCTAAAAAGTTCATCCCACAATATTTTTTATTTCCTTCTCCATCTCTTACTTTCTATAGAAATTAAACTCTCTATTCTCACTTATGCATCTTTAAGTCTCTAGTGTTTGATTTAATTTTATTTTCTCTTATTTTCTCATTGATGTGTACCACATAATTCACTACAACAAATTTGGGTTGATGCCACAAGACACTTCATGGCAAAAACTTCCAATTTCGTGGCGAAAGCCTTTTAGCCACAAGAAATAGCTCGTGGCTCGGTCGTGGGCATAGTCCCGTCACAGATTGCCAATAACCACGACTAAAAATTTTCGTGGCAAAATGTGGACCTTTTGCCACAAATTTGAACTCGTGATAAAATACCTTCTATTGCCACAAACTATTTTGTCGCTAAATAACAATACTTTCGTAGCAAGTAGCAATCCCGATATAAGAATTAATCGTGGCTAATTCAATCCTTTTGCAACGAAAATATTTATCATGGTAGAATAAGTCTTTTCCCACGAAATATATTCGTGGCTACAAATTTAATTGCCCACGAATATATGTCGTGGCAAATACCCAAAATAGGCCACAGAATTTATTCATGGCTAAAATTTTAATTGCCCACGAATATATGTTGTGGAAACTATCCAAAATAGGCCACATAATTTATCCGTGGCTATTCTATTATTAATAAAATTTAATTTAATTTAATAGCCAAAAATATATATTGTGTCAAATACCAAAAATAGGCCACATGTTTATCGTGACACGATAAGAATTTGTGGCAAATCTGTAAATTATTAACATTATAAACAAAAGAAATAATATAAATAAATAAATAAATAAAATTATCACATCAACACGATTATGCAAACAAATAAATACTTGATATTGCATAAGTTACACCAACCAAAAAATGTATTGTTTACAACATAAATAATAAAGCTCATCGCGTAAAAAAAAATGAATCTTAACATCTAAAACAATTTCAACTCCAATAATTTGGACCAAAGCAAGCTATTATCTTAAATAAATTGTTTCAAGATCTTAGACAAAAATGAGCTATAGATTCCTAAACAAAGGGTTCTAAGACGTAGACGTACACTACTTAAACCATCTTAAACAAAAAGAGCTTCAAGTCTTGTAGCATGAGCTCATCCAAAAATCTGCAAAACAAACAATGAATAAATATAATTAGTGCCCAAGTCAAAAAAAAAAAATGATTCCAAAAAAAAGTTATGCTACTACAAAATTCATTTAGGATTCTGAATACTTTTTTCAAAGAGAAATGAAGATAAGTTGGTAGAATTTGAGAGAACTAAATTAATAAAATCAAATACGTAAGTAGATACTAATTCTTCCTATATTTCTTTATTTTTCCGTCTTGATATTTCCATGTAGGTTTTTGCCTACTAAGATGAACAAGAGGATGTAGGTATAATAAATCACTGCACAAAAATTGAGCCATAGTGTCTCATGTTCTCCCATAAAACTCTTTTTTCCACCACTGTGTTTAAGGCATATACAGAAAATGTCCTAATATTGGTATAAAAATGAATTCATTTTCATCCATTAAAAGAAAACATGCTTCTTGCATTCATAGCCAATCACGAAATAAATCATAGACCTTTTGTGGCTTTGCATCCTATTAATGGAAACTCAAAACAAAAAAGAGTGGCCTGAAATTATATCATGTATAATATAACAAGCAAAACAAGGTTTTACATTTAAGGAGATCAAACCTATGTCTGTCAAAGAACATGACATTACAAAAAAAATTGAAAAAATGTCACTCATATGTATATTTTTCAAAGTAACTTCGCCAATGTACTTTCCTTAACTTGCATTACACCTTAGATAGTCCATCCAACTATTAAACAAATTAAAGAAAGTGAGATTAAAGCTATTGTACATCCTTTAGGACAAGGACTTTTATATTATTCTAAATCAATTTCATATAATCACAATAAAAAACAGGATAAAACATTTTATTTCTCGTATCTTATGAGAACTATCTATGTTTGATTTTTCTTAGAACTTTTTTTTTTTATATAAGTGATTTTTCTTAGAACATTGAAAAAAGATTAAAAAATCACCAACCCCTTCTAGTGTAACTATGTTTCTTTCAAACTAAACATATGACTACAAATTGAAATTTGAAGGGAAAAAAACTCTACTAAGAAAACTAAGAATTTTGAATGTTTTGTCACGACTTATGGAGACAGTTACAAGTACATGTAATGTTTAAATTCTATCACGACTTATGGAGTGTGTGTGTATATAGAGAGAGATTTTGGCTTTATAGCATGATTAAATTTAATTTTATATCTGTTAGCTTCTGTAGCATGTGATCGACCATAAAACAGTTACCTGATTCTATATTAAAATGCGATAAATGACAACCAAACTTCATCTACAACTATTTCCCAACCTCCATTTATGCACAAAAAAAAAAATAAAAATAAATAAAATTGGTCACTTAAGGCACATGACCCCCTATACACTGCAAAATTGGTCACTTAAAGGCACGTAACCCCCTTGAGCATGAGTAAAAAGCATTAAAAATGTGCAATGATAAAATTGATTAATGCTATATTCAATTTCATGATTTGCCCTAATATTTTAGAGTATTGTATGTTAAGTTTATTGTGATATGCTCTCAGTTTCATTTCTCTAGATTTGGTTATGGATTACTAATTTTTATTGCCTTGTTTTGGTTTCATATTTGCATTAAATTAATTAAAGAATTATTAAAATTTAAATGAAGAGTTGTGTTGGAAAATGAAATCAAAAATGCTGATTTTAGAACTGAAATCTCTATACTTAGAACTGTTATCTTTTAAATTAAGTTTTAGTTATGAAAGTACAATTGTTACCTAAACACAATGCTGCAACTAAACATTTATTCCTCTTTCGATTCACCATTACTTTCCAAGGATGTGGAACAATGATATAACGGTTTAACAAATACATGATAAGACTTGTCTCATGTCTCCACACCAATTCTTCAGGAGTTAACTATTTGACTTGAAATAGAATTTGGATACATTCGACTTCATCAAATCACTCATTATTTAATTAAATTTGACTCAATATGAATTCACCCAAAACAATGAATCAACAAAATAAAAAATAAAAAATTGGTCCTGAAATTAGTGTCAATTTTGCAAAAGTAATGCAAAAAGTCGAATCTTTCATATAAATTATCCTTCATGTTTCCTTAATGAGGAAGGGTAGCTTTAAATTATATAATTGATATTGATGTAACTCATACTAGTTCTTATGAAATTCATCTCTTCTATTTTTATTTAAATATAGATTTATATTTTAGATGTTTTATGCTTTGTGTAAGATTTAATTTAATAAAATGTCACATGCAATTGACTTTGATTTCAGTAAAATCTTGGATTATGTTAATATATATAAACATAAAGATAAACATAGCACTGGAAGAGTACAAAAATGTACAAGAACAGAGTAGTAGTTTAGTATTTAGTGAGTAAACAAATTAATTAATTAAGCAAAGAAGGTTAACAGAAAAGATGGAAGGCACAGATAAGATACTCCAAGCAAGCACTGGGTATGCTCCCAACAAATTAAGAAGTACGAGAAATCTGCGACTTTTAACTTGAAGTAATAATTTAAAACCATGGCCAGCACTTGAAGTAATAATTTAAAAGAAAGGTTTCTTAATAATCTTTCAGCCTTTTTTTTAGTCCCATGAATTCTTCCATGTGATGTAGTAAAATAATCAAAATGCTTTTCGCTCTAAAAGTTGAATTCAAGCATTCCTTTATGGTTTGCTTATTTAAAATTAGAATTTTGAATCCACATCTTGTACAAAGACTTCATGTGCATGATTGAATAATTTAAAACTATTTTGTTATATCATGTATAAATATATACATGTTCATTAAGTTTCACGAAGGTGGCTCAGCATGCAATTATTTCAAAATTTTGTCATATCTTCTACCATAGATCGAATCATCTAGTAATTAAGATACAAAAATTTATAATTTAATTGAGTTATAATTGTAAATAATAAAATAGTTTATTTTAAAAATTCACTTTTCATTTAATTAAAATCCAAGGTCAAGTATAATATAAATAAATGGACAAAATAATTGCAGTCAAGAATTACTTCATGCCCAAAATGATCTCAACCATCTGATTAAATGAAATAGCCAAATGAGAAGACATGGTGGAGCTTGATTCTTGGCAAGACTAAGAGATAATATTGCGACTCTGCTAATGCAACAAATGACAGAACTAGGAACACAACCTAAAAACACCAGTGCAAGCCCATCAATAGTTTAAGACTATCTAAGAAGTGTCCATTAAGATAAAAACTGAAAACCCTTATCCCAATTTCATAATAAACATCAAAGACTAACTCCAATTTCATAAATAAATCAGAAAAATTGAAAACCCTAATTTCATAAATAAATCAGAAAAATTGAAAACCCTAACCTGTTTTTTGACTCCTCTGGCTCAGCTCACCTCAAAATTGCATCAGATGAGTCCTGTATTTCTCAAATGAAACAAATCACGAATCAATTCACATTGACACACAAAAACAAAAAGATATATATATGCACAAACATATGTGCAAAAAATGTAAGAGAAAAACTTGTGAAAAAGTTTAGAATGCTAGCCCTATAGATAGATGGAGATTGATGAAATGGTTAGATATAAGGCTGAAAATCACATAGAAAGGCGGCTGGAACAAGGTACCTTCGTCCATGCTCCACTCGCTGCTCACTTCTTCACCCCGAAACGCCAACAGAAAGAATTGATTAAGTGGACATGGCCCCATAAAGAGAGGCAAGGTCGTCGTTTCCATTTTTTCCCCAGAAAAAGACCCCATACCTGACCAGCCCCATGATCTCCATTAACGGGGTCATCATCAGAAGTTTTCAACGAGATCAAAAATGGATCCCTATTTTTGACGTGAATAGAAGCTTTTTTTGGAACGAATTAAATAGGAACGAATAGGAGACCTCTCTCATAGGACGCAGGAATCCCTATCCGATCGATACAATTGATGTGCTTCGTATATCGCCTGAGGGCTTTTTTATTTTTTTTATATGTATTTTTAAAGTGACTTTAATTGTGGCTGAGCCATTTTGGCGCGGTAGCGAAAATTTTTGGAGGGAAGTTCAAAAAAAATTATTTTTTTTTATTTTTATTCAAATTTATGTAAAAAGGTATGTATGAAAGTTAGAATCTGAATGTATGTCTAATTTAGCAATAATATATTTAATTTGTAAGGGTATAAATGAAAATTTTAATCATTTAAGAAAAAACTGATCTCAAAAGTAAGACTTACTTGTCTTAGAGATAATATTTAGGACACCTTTGTTTTTTAATGTGAAAAATTGGACTTGATGGTAATTTTCCCAAGTTAATATCGCTTGCAAAAATCATGGGGTAGTTTTACTTCCATTTTTTTACTTAATTGATACTCAACACTACGTAGTGTAATAAATATACATTAGGAATAAACATAAATTATATTAAAAAGCTATAATAAAGAATAATTGAGTCCTAAAATTATAAGATTGTTTGTCTATATACTCTATATGGATGGCAACGAGGCGAAGTTGGGACGAGTTTGATAAAATTATCATATCCTTTATTTGCACAAATTGAAACAACGGGGTTAATTGCACATTTTGTATATCATTGGGGCCTTTTTGCACTTGACCCTTTTTTTTAATGAGAATGAGTGATTTAAAAATGATCAATTTTAAGAATATTCCATTTTGAATTTTAATCAACAATAAATTTGCTAGAATAGGTGGGGATCGTGTATTTTTTTCACCCCTTTTATAAAATTTAAAACAAAGATGTGAACTTGGGAGTATTGGTCAACAAAATATGAACTGGAGATTTAACCTTGGTGTATCTAGGGCTGATCACGGATTGGTTCGGTTCAGTTTGGGGGTAAAGTTCAATCCAATCCGGTCCCCACGGATTGGTTAAATTTGAAACCTAACCGATCCGTGGGGACTTTCAATCTGAATCAAGCCAATCCGTGAAATAACAGATCGGATCGGTTCAGTTCCCACGGATTGGGCTTTTTAAATCTTGGAACATAAATATCTTCTACAGTTGTTATTTGCCAAGAACAAAAATTGTTACATTAGATTCAGCTACTAATACCTATTCCAATATTCCTAATCTAAACCAATTATATAACTTTCAAAAAAAAAAAAAAAATCACAAATTAAAATCAAACTATATTTACATCTTTATAACTGAATACCTAACCTACCAAAAGATCATCATAATTACATCTTTATACAAATAAATAATAAATCAAAATAAAATCTTTTCAAAAAATATTAGAAAAATAAGACAAACAAAAGAAATCAGTAAGGACATTACAAAAAACAATATGATCTGTTCAGATAAGAGAAGAATAAGAAAATCCATAAAAAAATCTTATGAACTCACCGGAAAAGAGGTAGATCCAGTCGAAGAGGTCGTCGTTGCTTCGATACGCAAAGATCACCGTTGTTTTGATGTATTATAGGGTGAACGATGGATTGAGAGGTACTGGATTGAGAGGCGAGAGATTGGGAGGCAAGAGGAGGAAGAAAGAGGCAAAGAGTGAAGACTCTGAGGCTGTGGAGTAAGGCGCACAACGCCTATAATGAGTATAAATTATATTAACTAATGAGATAACTAGTGACCTAAGGTTAACTTAAATGGTGAATAAAAACAAAAAATAGAAATACAGTAATAAATGATAGTAAATATATATATATATATATATATATATATATATATATATAATTAAAGAAACAGATTGGTCGGTTCAGTTAATGGATCGGATCGATTTTTTCAGGACCCAATCCGTTAACCGAACCGCAAATAACAGATTGTTATTTTTCTAAATCATCAGCAAACCATGTGATATGAAAACCGAACCGAACCACACGGATCGGATTGGTTCGGACTAGATTGACGGATTATTTGAACACCCCTAGGTATATCTTGGAACAATAATTATTTGTTACCTTGAGACACATTGGCAGATCATTTAATTGGAATGATCGAGTAAACTGGACAATATGAATTTCTCTAATAAAGAAAAAATTATATTAAATTAATTAACTCTAAATAAGTTTATCTTTCACTATAAGATATAATATTTTTATATTATATCAAAATAATTGCTAGGAAAGCTAATAAAGAAAAGTGGACAAAATTATCTAAGATTGACCATTGAAAATTTATGTAACCTTCTGTCAATTTACATCTCTAATTAGATTTTTTTTATATAAGAAAAAAAATATATTAAAGCAATTGAATATAAATAAGTTTATAAGTTAAAATATTTTATTTTATATCAAAACATTTGTAATAAATAAATTTCTTTACACTTTTCTCATATAACAATTAAAATAAATATAATTATTTTATATTAAAATTTCACAACACAAGAAAATTATAACTACAAAAAATCACAATTTTGCTAAATGAATAACATCGTTGCCTCGAAAATAGTTAATTACACTTTTCTCATTTTTTGCCAAACGAATAACACCATGGTATTTAAAAAGGGTCATTTAAGGAATTACGAAAACTAAATAAATAATAATAGTCATCGAAGATATCCTAATTGCCACGAAAATAAATTTGTTGTAAAAATAACATTTCGCCACAAGGATTGAAAATTTGTGGCAAAAGATATTATTTGCCACGAATAAAGCATCGTTGCGAATGACTAATAGATTTGGCACGAAAATGGTTACATGAGAATAGAACATATCATAGCCACAATTGATAATTCGTGGCAAGATCAATCTTTTGGCCACGTGAAAAAAATTTCGTGCCAAAAAATTATATTTGGCACGAGAATAACATCATGGCAAATTATAAAGCGATTAGCCATGAAAATATATATGTGCCAAAAGAAACATATAATTGCCACGAATAGAAATCCGTGGTACAAATAGTATTTTGCCACAACTTTGCATGTCGTTCCTAATTCGTAGTGGCAAAATTAACATTTTACCACAAATTTTTAGGTCTTCCCAAATATTCGTGGCAAGAATTAGTATTTGTCACGAAAAATATATTCCGTGGCAAACACTCATATATTAGCCAGAAGAAGTTAATTTTGTGGCTAAAAGATACTTTTTGCCACAAAATTTTATGCGTGGCAAAAAATTTCATGGCAAGAGCCCAAATTTGTTGTACTAATTTTTTTCTTACACTTTCATTTATGACCCTATCTCTCTCTTCTACTTTATCTGACCATCCATTTTAAGATTCTCATTTTCACTACATAAAAGACGTTCTTGTTTCTTTTCTAAAGCCTAATACTCTGTTTCATAAAGCATAGTTAGTTGGTCTAGTGATGGTCTTATAAAAGTTTCCTTTTAACCTATGTGCTATTTTTATCACATAACATGCCCACTAGCTTGTCTTTATTTTATCCACCCATGGTTATATCACTATCTATCTATCCTTTTGTATTATTGATTCTAAATAATAAAAGTAATTATTTTGTATCAATTAGGAAAAAAAAAAAAAGTTATTATTTTGGCACTATCTCCAAAAACAACCTAATTTAACACTACCTACAAAAATAAAAAAATATAGGAATAAGAGCATAATCACTAAAAATAAGATAACTAAAAAATAAAAATAAAAAATGCTCATTTCGTGTCCATTTCATCCTCTAACAAAAATTTCAAAAAATTAGAGAGTTATCCTATATGATTGAAAACACAAAAAATTGGGCTCAAAAATGAATTTGGTCGAAAAATGAATTTTAACCTGACATTTATTAGGCTTTTCGTACTGGTTTCCGTAGTTGAATTGAGCTCGTCAAAATTACACGGAAAACTATTTCAACCTGACATTTATTAGGCTTTTCGTAGTCGAAATGGTGCATATAAATTTCGATAATATGTTCTACATTTGTTGATTGATTTTGCTTCAAAAATAAACCTTGGCGACAAAATTATTAGTCATGAAAGCCAATATGTTTGTGTTTGATCCTTTGTGAACGTCACTCTCTAGATGACATTCGTAGCAAAATTATTACAATATTGGAAGGCCAATACATGTGTGTGTTTGTGTGTGTGTGTGTGTGTATATATATATATAGATGAAACATCATAATTAATTCACAATATTGGAAGGCCAATACATGTGTGCGTATATATATAGATGTAACATCATAATTAATTTACGAATTAATATGTAGTGATGTTACCTTTTACCAACTTACATCTGGAAGTGTTGAATTTTATGCGTTTTTGTTCATCTTTCTCATCATTTTCTTCTCTATTTTTCTGTTGAACTGCCTGAAAGTTTAAGCTGCCTCTTGAAAAGCATTCCTTCTTCTTTTTTTTAATTATTATTAATTTTTTTTAAAATGCCTTTCTGTTTTTTTAGGTTGTCATTCCAAATTTCCTGGAAAGTGTGCATTCTTGTAACAAATAATCTGATGAACTATTTTACTTACCCAAAAAAAAAAAGAAAAAAAAAAATCTGATGAACTAAAACAAAAATGCTTTCACATGGTCGGTTATTATTATATTTATAAAAGATACTTGTATTAGGTTTAGAAAAACTTTATATAAACCTAATACAAGTATATGCTTATGTTTTAATGTCCATAGCAAAGAAAACCATTCATAATCAACACAAAAAAAAGTCCATTATTAACATTTTGCAAACACCATTAGAGTTTAGACAAGTTTTACTCAAAAGTTTAAGCTATTAGGCGCCTGTCGTGATACCAAATCAGGGAATGGGTCTAACTCTAATGCTAATTATAATGAGCAGAGTGTTTTATAATCCGACCTAAAAACTTAAGTAATTAGGTGGTGTTAATATCCAATCCATATATATACCCATTTCACTCCCATTCGAATTCAACACGGGATAAGTTATCCTTGTAACAAAATGATTCTTCGAAAACGCTCGTCATAACATAATCTAATAAAATATGATGGAAATAATGTCACTAATTTTAAATAAATCTTGGTCAAGGAAAATGTTATTGACTAAAATTTTAATCTCACTTTCATGGGATTAATGACTTTTATATCATCATGATACTGACTGCATTAAAGAGAGAACGAAAGGTACGAACAATTCTTCCAAACATCCTAATGATGATGATGACTTCAGAATGAATGTCAGCAACAAATTGTGTGCATGGAATGCAAGGATGTTGAGTTTTGAACTAAACTATATAAACAGTTTCAGACGTTATCAAATAATAAATATTAGCTTCCCCTTAATAGAAAATGAAAACAATAAAAAGAAAAAAAATCAATGCTTGACTTGTAATGGTAAATAAAAGAGAG